ATGAGAGATATAATTAGAAACTCACACATTAGAGGAGAGCTAAAAATGAGTAAAATACAGAAACAAGCTGACAAGGAGACTGAGATGCTTTGGACATGTTAAAAAAATGAATGTGCACAGAATACCAAAAATATTATTGGCAGGAGACCCAGGGGCAGACTATGTACATGACAGACAGACCAAGTTAAGACAGCTGCAGACAGGAGAGGATATAACTGGAGGAGGGTAGACAAAATGCAAGAATGGGCAGACAGAGACAGCTGGAGGCTCCTACACAGAACTGAACCCCCAAGTGTGATAGGAACTGAAGAAAGGTCTATCATGTTATGAGGCCTAAAACGTCAGCTTTCTACACATTCACAAGTTATCAATTTCTCAAATAAATGAACTATAAGCTTTCAAATATGGTACAGCACAAGATCAGCTGATTTGCAGCAGAAAATAGGATACATCAACAGTAGAGGGACTTGTGTCAGAGAAAGAGGGAATGGCAGAGAATACGTAAACAGAGTAAGATGCATATTCTAGGTGTGACATTTAGGGAGAAAAGAGACTAAAACTTCACAGTGATTACAGTATAGGGTTTTCTTCAAAAGTGACTATACTCTTATAAAAACCAAAAAAAGAGTATAAGTGATTCAGGTGGTTGAAGATAATGGCGATGATATCTTGAAATATAATTTACATATGATAAGACATCCATTTCTACCTATTTTCTATCTTAGCAAAATTTTGTTTAAGAAATACATTTTTTAAGTTAAAAGAAATTCACTGTAATAGCAGTTCAAGTCATTCAAAATAATCTGAACATTCTATAATACTCTAATATCACGGCTTAAATGATTAGGAATATTTCCACTCCCTCATGTTTTCATAGCATGTGCTTAATTAAGTACTGGAATAACTTTTATTTTATTTTTAACATTCTTCATGTACTATTTAAAGGTTGTGTTAACCACACAAGGAAGTGGTTAGATATTTCAGAAATTACTCTAAATGGAAATCCCAATTTAACACACAAGGCCTACTAATCTGTCTGCTAATGATCTTTCAAAATGATTATGGTAAATTTATAAATTCATAAAGCATATAATACAACTGCATTCACATATAGTGTGAAGAAAACAAGCTAAAAATCAGTACTTTTGGACTGGCAGAAAAAGCAGAACAAATTAACCTATATATATATATAAATGCGCATGTCTTAAAAGCTGCATCACTCCATAAAGTTTCCTCACCAAAATTATCAATGACTAGACCTGCAGTTACAAGACAAGGCATATGAAGGGGAACAAATTTGTATTTACCTGCACTGTATGTCGTGAGCCAGTCTTGGGAATGTACTCTGCAGTATATGTGCCATCACCATTACTACGAACATTCACATCAATGTTGTTGCAATTGGCATCAAGGACTTGGACATCAAGAGGAGCTGATCCTGCATGCCGTGTGTCGATTGTAAACTGTGCTCGCTGGCCCTTGCTCACTCCATCACGTTGCACACCAGGACCAAAGCACTCAACCTGTATCAATGTGGAAATATTTTAGTCTGGGAAAATACAAACATGATGAACACACAAAATCTCTTGTAATTAAAAAACTGTTAAAAGAAGATTTGATTTTCTCTTTTGTGAACATAAATTTGTATATAGCACGTAATTAATTATAAGCAGCTTTATAGATAGCCAAAATTACAAGCATAAATTGATAACATTGAGTTAAAACATTTTCATCTAGGGGTTCCAGTGGCAGCTCTCATGATGATGATGATGACAACAACAATAAACCTACAGATTCTACAAAAGTGGAGAATTAACCATGTGAGCAAATGTTAACTTCTCAAGGACAATGCTCCGTGGAGTGAGTCACTAGCTATCAAAACTACATCATATGTAAGTATCAACAAAATGAAACTTATGTTTACAATCCTGTATTCCTAAACACTGATTATGTCCAATACTTATAATTTAATCTTTAGTAATAGCACAAGATGGTATCATTTTTATAAAAGGCAAAGAAGGAAATTCCTGTGAAAAACGCAACAAGATTGTTTGTAGCATATGCAAGTGCTTAATATAAATATAAACATATGTTCCAGTAAGCACCAAAGAGATCCTTATATTAATTGCTCTTATAACTGAACTTTTAAACCCTAACCTCAGTATTTACTATGATATCCACAATATAATTCCAGAATGTGAAACTGAGGTATTCAATTCCTGTGAGTTTGGAAACTTACATTTTGAATACTATGTTACTTCATTTCCCATGTCATACAATGAACACTGAGATAAAAAAAATGACCACATTGAGATGGCACTTGCTAAATAAAATTTTAATTATGAGCCTGACAGCATCTTACATGCATGAAGGATTATGTGAAATACATGAGTTTTTTAATTTTCATCTACCATACCTTATCAGGGTAGTAGTCTGTACTTGGAAGAATTTGAGATATGTATGGTGATTTTGGAATATCCTCATTGTCACACAGGATGTGCACAGCATACTCCCCAGGTGCAGTTGGATAATATCTCACATCAGCAGAGCCATCACCATTGTCATGACAGTCAATCTTTGCTTGTGATGGACCCTCAATACTAAATCCTGTCAACAGAATTTAACTTCAACTTCAGTTGCTCAGTATTTACTTTCAAAGTCAAAAATAATATAAACTGCAAGTGTTTGAAAACAATTTGTTTAGTTTGATGGGTATCGAACATTAAATGAACTTTACTCACCATAATTTCAATAAAATTTTCTGCACAATATACTATGACTAAGCCTGAAGAAAAGACTTAGCAGTGTCCTGACAATGTCAAGCAGTCACAGCAATGAAAGTTCTATACATACATCAGCATGGTATGGCATAAATAAAACTCAAATCTGCAAAATGTTTAATCACTCATTAGTCTTGTGTTTCCTTGTTGCTCGTTCACTGCGTTTACTGTTGTATGTCTATTCTCTCAACATACCTAGCGTATTATCAAGTGCCTCTGTTTTCAAGAGCCAGTTCATGGTTGAAAAAAAGAGCATTACCTTGAATCTTATGGCAAATATAAAGGACCAAAGATTGGAAAAGAAAAAAATAAATAAGAATATTGCAGTACAAAATTCAGAAAAAGGCTGGGGAATAAGGACACCACATACCAAGAGCTCCAGTTTCTCCATTTGTTTCTACAGTGAAGAGTGCAGGGTAACCCACTACACCACCAGCCAAGCCTGGTCCATATGCACGAATCCTGGTCTGTTTGTAGGGACCTACATTTACATCAAATGGTGATCGTGGAATCTCCTGCCCAGCAAATGTCACCATCACAACATGCCGCCCTTCCTTGCGAGGATGGTAGACTGCTTCATATGTTGTACCATCCACCTTGCGAACCTTCACTGGTTCATTCACCCCACCTAGACCAGCCAGTTAAGATGTAAAACATAATGTTACTGACCTGCCAATCACATCGCCAGACAGTTCATTCTGTCACTTATATGACCACTTGACAATAAAGACTAAGCATTAACAAGTAATGCTAACAAGAATGGATGACAGTCCATTCAAGTTTATTTATGTTCATAAATATATACTAAGTGCCTTTAAAAAGGCCTACAGTATGAAAAACAAATATATCACACACAATATCAGTTTCAATATAACATTTTTATCTGATCTATCTTCAATGAAATACATATAAAGTTTGAACCAGACCAGCTCTGGGGCCCACACAGCCTCCTGTGGGTACCAGGGTCCATTCCCAGGAGTAAAGCGCAGGCGGGGTGTGACCCTGACCACTCACCTCTACCTAGTGCTGTTAATAATGAGTAGGAGCTACACCACCTCCCCCAAGCATCAACATGGTGTATAATGGGACAGCTTTAAGAATTGAAATGGTACTCGACTAGACTCAAAGTAAAAAAAGTTTTAAATGGTTTCATAGTATCCTAGTACATCAATATATACTTTCTCAAACCTTACCCACTTCTTGATGGTGAGTGATAAGTCAACAAATAAAGTAAATTATTTTGACAATAAAAAGTGAAGGATCTTTTATCAGCAACTCTACATCTCAATGAATGAGTTGGTGACAGAAAAAAGAATGTTTCTTCATAAAAATTTCTTTGTACATGAAATGCTGCCTTCTGATGAAATTGTCATCAAAATGGTATGCACCAATCTGGACAACACTGAATGCTTCTTTTACAAAACTTAACACACTCTGCATGTACCTGGTCCAATAACACGAACTTCTGGGCTGCCTTCTCCTGCTCCTTCTGTGTAAATCTTAAAATCAGCAACATCACCAACTCGCACTCCACTGGGTTGCAGACCTCGGCCTGAGGCCCTAACCTTCTTAGCATCCGATACTAGCAACAAAACACAGCATAATCAACCCAAGAAGTAATTATATGTCCTTAAAGCATATGAGACCAACACCAACCAATGTGCAAGTAGGCAAGAGTTAACAAACTGGAAATACACAGCAGAATTTGAGGCTCTCATGGCAGTTAGTACAAATATGGCTGTCTTCTGGATTCTAGTGCCTTGTAGCACCAAACTTCTACCAGACTACATAGCACTACAACCCAAAAGACAGCCATATTAGGAAATACACAAATGTTATGTACATTAGGGACACAAAACAGTCATTATACAGAATGCTCTGGATTTACGACATGCTCTATCACGATGTATACACCTACAATGTGCTTTACTAATTAGTTTTAAATAATTATGTGACAAAAAATATAATTTAATGCAACAAATATTGCCAAAAACTAAACCACCATCAAATAATCAATTTCAAATGATATTAACTCTTTCCATATTATAATTCAACAAAAAAGCCAGCTGCATTGATCCATGCATTAATAAAGTGAATGCTTGTTACCATCATTTTGTTAAACATAAGAGAAACAGAAAGAGTAGTGTAGTATGTATTCCATGGAAAAAACATATTTTGCATAACTGCATTCCTTACAAACCTTAATGTTCATTCATTGCACACAAATTCTATTGTTTCAAAACTAATCAACTAATCACACCACAGGCATTACAGTAAAATGTTTCATATATTTATTGAACCTGTATTTGGTGACTGACTATGTAGAAGTTGGCTTGTTGGCAACCTATCAAGGGACCATAATGCTTCTAACATCAGGGCTGAAGTGAGAAGGTCACAATGTCTACAGTTCAGCACTGATAATAGAAGCAGTATGGTCCCCTAAAAGGTCAGCCAGCAGCTAACTGATTTCTATATGGTAGAAGCACCCAAGTTCAGTTTCATTACCATTAATAAAACTGGCGTGAAAGCTTAATGTCACAGTCAGATATTTTTTTATTTCACTAGATATTTGTTTCACCTATACGAAACAAAATGCTTCATACAAAAATTATTGACTTTATATTAGGCATTAAAAAAATGCTATGCAGCATCTGAGAATATACTATGACCAACAAAGTGTGACAACACTCACAACTCAATATTTATTCAGTTTGACCTTAAAGTTTCTAATTTTAGCACCGAAATACAATATAAATTCATCAAACACACCTGGAGCTACTCGCACACCATAAGGACTGTTGGGTATAGGTTGTCCTGCAAAGAAGACATTCACAGAATGCAAACCAATGGCTGGGGACACATATTCACACCGCCACACATCTTGAGAAATAGGGCGCACTTTCACTGGCACAGTGTTTTTGTGACCCGATGGGTCAAGAATAATTACTTCTGGAACGCCACGGCCAGCATCTGCCAACAAAATATATCAGAACACAATTTTAGCAATCCCACACTTAATATTACTAGATTGTTATAAAATCAAATTTTCACTGAAAAAGTTAAAAACTAAAATATGTAAAGCAAAATTGAAGACAAATTTGTTTTTTCAACTGATTTTGTCCTTTCTTGTGACAGTTTACATGACAGACTAAAATATTCTTTCAAACACAAGCTACAGAACCAGCATAAAATAATTCGGGGAACAAAGCCACTGTAAATGGAGTTGAAAGCAATAACACCTACATGAAATTAGTCTCCTTTGTGGGAGAATTAATATCATCATTCTTTGCTATTTCACAGTAGTCACTCTCAACAAAACCGCCCTAACACGTAAGGAATATTACACACATGTATCATAAATATGTCTGATGCCAAACATGAACCTTTCATTTAATTGCAAATACTACCTACCCTTGGTAGATATGTCAAAGTATGTTGGCCGGTTTATCATCACACCATCAGGCTGCAAACCAGGTCCTGAGGCTGTAACCTTGGTTGGATCACCTGCATGACCTTCCACAGACACAGTATAAGGTGACTTTGGTATTTCACGTCCAGCAAATTTTATAGACACTTTGTGATTCCCTTCCAAACGAGGAACATATGACACACTGTACGTCAAATTACGATCCTTATTGAAACGAATATCAACCTGAAAGTAAATCAGCATGTATTAACACTAACATCAACACTACATTAACTACAGACAGTTAAAGCGGAAGCCTCATTATAGTAGTTTTAAAATTGTCACCAAATACCAGTGCCTTATTAACTTAGTTATAAACTGTTATGGGAATGGAATACTGATACCTTCCTTTCCTTACTATATTCTTTCTTTGCTTACAGAAAACTTTATACAAACAGAACATTTTCAAAGAGCAATTACTTTTTGTAAACTCTGTTGATAATTTGACACAATATGTGACAGACAACAAAATGGCATACAATACAAAGTCCACAGAATTCCTTACACCCAACATAGGCCATGCTTAAAACAAAGCAATCAAATTATACCACTGTGACTATTAATTCAAGGATTGAAAATGTGCTAAGATGGAACAATACATCAGAGCTATATGACTAATGAATGTATAACATTTTTGATTATAACTCTGAAGTTAATTCATGATGTAAAGGCATGTTCAAAATTACATTCCAAGACAAACTTCTCTCTTTCACATATTATTTTACTTCATTTTATTCATCACATATTAACCTTCCACAACCTGCATCTAGATATGACATGTCCTCCATGTTATAACATAACTTATTCTCAGTTGGATTAACAATTTCCCACATCTCCCGAAGTAAATACTGAATAAATATTATGGCAATACATTTCAACTCCTTTTATCAAAATTTTAAGTTACATGTTTGAAGTCTCTGTCAGCCTATCCCAAAAACATAGTGAACAGAACACGGAAACTATAATTTTTCTGTTCTCTATTTATCTAATAATATCGTGTACCACATAGTCCAAGTATGGGAAATATGAATTTCATCCCACAATTATTCTTTTTCACTGTAACCTGAAACGAGATACCAGATAGAAATATTTGTGATGTGAATACAAAAGGGCATGACATTGTGATTCTTTATATATATAATGCAAATGAGAGGACATGGTGTTTTGTGAGAAACATGAGTGTGACAGAAAGAACAACTTGGTGAAGAAATAAGAATAAATTGAGTACAAAACAAAAAATATTTAATCACAGGCACTCACAGGCTCCAGCTGTCCATTAGGGTTTTCCACAGTGACATCAATTTTGCCTTTACCAGCTGAAAAAGTTTCAACAGTGAAGTTTGCTGGTGCTCCAACCACAGGGCCAGATGGTTCAATTCCAGGACCATATGCTCGTACCCTATTGCAGCATTACAGAAATAGGTGTGTTCAGTGGCAAATAACAAAAAATAACAAAAATATTTTAGACATATCAAAAGTTAAATAAGAGACAAACAAAGAAGTTCTAACTCCAGGAGAACCCACATACATATTACCTATATAAGGAAGATGTACACAGACATCATAATAAATGCAACAGAAATCACATTTTTAATGTGAAAGTATCATCATCATCATAACATTGTTGTTATAGTTCTTGTTCTTGTTCTTGCAGTGGAAATCTCTAAAATATTATTTCCTATATATTATCATTCTACTAAACATTTTGAAAACAGATAAAATAATTAATCTTTCCATGAACCATATTACTACAAGGTGCAAACCACCTCTTATGAAAAGACATATATAAAAAAATTAAATTTAGAAGGATTAAGGAAGAGATAAGAATAAACTGTTTTAAAGTAATAATTCAATACTGTCCTGGAAAGATTTAACCTTGAACTCAAACTGCAGCAATAAAATCAAGTCACTGAAAGAAATATGGGGAATCCATAAACGGTAGGTAGTAAGAATGAATCACTGTATCTGTCAGTGCAGCTATGGTAAAAGTATTTAGGGCATATTCAGTCTCTGCTGTCAAGTCTGTTCCACATTAAAACATAAAAAAAGTCATCACTTGTTTTACACTATTACAACAGCATTGTTATGTTTTCAACCTTCAACTCAATGAAGAAAGTATTCATGAAAGGAATTCAAAACTTCCAGCAGATTACATATGCTGTTTGGCAAGTCTGTTAGTTGTTAGATTAAATTACACTTGATTGTTAATTAAATGATATGATGTAAAAAAAACAAAATTTCTCCAAGAAAATTGGATTAGATAACTCTATTTGAATTAAACAAAAAGCAACTCAAATTTTCATGATATGCAGATTTAACCAACTGATTTGAAATTAAATTTCACCTGGCTCTGGAGGTACTACAATGGTCTGTCCCTTCCATGCAAACAAAACAGTTCAGGTAACATAAACTATTAGATTCCAAACAGAAATTTTGTATGATTAGAAGTAAGGCAAGAGTCAAGAACGGAGTAATAAACCCAGATCACGTGTTACTGACCATCACAAATACTACCTCTTCTACCTCAGTATTAAAGATACAAATTTAAAACTTCATGAATAAAGGACATTCAATATCAGTCTTTTATATAAGAGACTATACTAACAGCAATTTATATTTGCTACACAAAGCATTATATATGTGAGCATGAAAACTAAACTTTGGCACAATGTGTTAGAAAAAAAATGTTTGTTTCATGACCATCAGTTTCAAACAGCCAACATATATGCGAAACCAGCAATGAAACAGGGAACAAAGTTATTCACTGAGGCTCCACAACACACACACATATTCACATATTCCATTTGGCTTCACAATGCACACCTAAAACTAATCTGTAACAAACACGTCTTAAAATTCTGAAGTGCTGCCTTACAAGAACCATGACAGATCGCCAATATTTAAGAGAAAAATATCAACTTTATCGTCAGGTATGAAAACTGTGTAAGAAGCAATCAAACTGCTAATAAATCAGTTTGAAGAAAGTTTTAATTCTCACACTTCTGATTGTCCTTCAGAACTTCAATATGCTATATACATTCTCTGCAGCTTTTAAAACATCATATGAACCACAGCTAACATCTTTTAACAGAATTAAATAAAGTCAGTCCAAATAAAGCATTTATTGTGCAAGGAAAAAAGAAAGGGTAGAAATATGAGGCAAAATGCATGCTGCTTAGTCCCTTCCTTTCTCATCCCGATAATCCCAGAGCCT